GACTCACCCTGTATATTTCTATATGTATATATTTATAGAATATTTGATTGGAATATTCTGAAATTAGGAATACACTCCAGAAGAATATTCATAGAGCTATGTGTGGTATCGCGATAACTAGAAATTCTGTTTGGTTTAACCAAAATACATTCTATCTTGTCTTGTTGATGTAATCAAAGCATTTTTCTCGGTGCAAATAGCCAAATCTGTCGGAACATATTTCGCCAAATGCTCACTACAAATTTTCAAGGTAGAAAGACTGCAGATTGCATACAAGAGCTGATGTATTCGACATGTTGCCAGCGTGTCAGCAGAAATAAATACAAAATCTGCTCACATAACTGGACCTGCTCGGTTTTTGCCGACAATCTGTTGACAGTATGTTTTACAGACTCTGCTGTCAAAACCAAATGCTCGAACTACCAGAACGTACTGGATAAAACAGGCTTTAAGCCTAATACACGAGGAAGAAGAAGAAATTGTCAAAACAAAGCCAAATGCGGACACAGACGGCTATGGTTTTGGTGTGGTTTGCTGAAAATTCTACTGCCAATCTGCTAACATTTTGCTGACTGGTTACACATGTATGATGTGTGTATGTTAAAAAATTAATAAGTCGGAAAATGAGATGAAATATGGATGAAAAACGTTCTTCTCAGCGATTCGATAATCAATGGCCGCGGGCTACGAGTAAGAGCCGTGACCCGAAATCTAATTTGATTCGCAATTCGTCGAGAACGAACGCTATTGGATGCAACCTAACAATCTGATAGATTTTTCGTGGTAGGTTATTTTTTCCGCACTACTGCGTAATTAGTCTCTTACTATTCTCTTGTTTTAAGCCTTTAACAATTTCATTTCTTCTCAGTTCTCAGGATGAAATTTGGCCTTGTAAAATGATAAACGTAGTAAACACAATGAATCTAAAATGGCCAGAGTTAAATCGTATTCCCGCTCGATTAAGCTACCTTCCAAATTTTACCTCATTTTCACCTTGTTCCGCTTCATCGTGCAGTATAATATGCACTCTATTAATAAATCGAATAAATCGTCGGTCGTGCACTGATAACGGCCAAATAATGGAAGCGGCCGCAATTTTATCCCAACTTAAACCAGCGGCGCACAAAGAGAAACGATTTGTCGGCTTAAATTTATTAAAAACGTCCGTCCGCGTGAATTCGACGTGGCAGAAAAAAAAGTCAATGTTGACGGTGAGTGGATCGTCGATTTAATATCTACATACACCTCCTAAAAAATCTCTCGTCGCACAAGGGTCCGTTGCCGCCGAACGACATTCGTCAAGCAGTCATCTTTTTTACTGACACAGTTAAATATGGTTTTTGAGCTGGTAAATATTTTTATTGGCTTTCATGCGCAAAATAATGCCAGGATAAATTGCGGACCGCATAGCAGAACATTTTCATACTTGAAACACTCAGGTCAGAAGTCTAATGAAAAAGATATTGATATTTGAAATTGGCTCTGTAAAATTACAAAATTCTTCTACACGATTATAGTACGCATAAAAGCAAAGCGGGGGATTCGCGGCTTTATATAAAGAACGAAGAGCAATTAAAAATATCAGCATGTGAGCATGTCACCCTCGATGTCACCTAATCGCAATTACCTATAAAGCGATATTTTTAATTTCTCTTCGTAATTTGTATAAAGCCAATTTTAAATTGCTCACGATTAAAAAGTTGAAAATTTCAAATACTAATATCTTTTTCATTAGACTTTCGACCCGAGTGTTTTAAGTATAAAAAATGTTCTGCTATGCGGTCCGCAACTTGGCATCTGGCATTATTTTGTGCATAGAAGCTAATAAAAAGATTTACCAGCGCAAAGCCTATATTCGAATGTGTCGGTAAAACAGACGCGCGGGAAAAAAGAACGCTACACGTTTTTACGGCAATTTAGATCTAGAGACCCTGCAATCAGAGGACTGGCCATAAGAGTTCGTCAAATTCCTGCGTGTGAGAGAAACACAGGCCACCTCACTCGTCTACGATCGTAATCCAGTCAGAAATGACTTGTCGATCGGCGTCGAAACGATGTCGAGTCGGCGTCAATATGGCGGTTTTGATGCGGATGCGACGAGTCATTTCTGACTGGGAACTCGATCTCTCTCACTCGCAGGAACTTGACCAACTCTCATGGCCGGTCTCTGATTACAGGGTCTCTATTTAGATCGTTGGCGAGCGACGGTTGCAAAAATCTAATTGCGAAACGGTACTTCCAGTACTCACCGTGCGATGCGAAGCGACTGTCATCCGATCCCGCGCCGCCTCTCCGGTCTCTCTCCGCTTCTCGTCCGACTGCTGGAAAAACCAGCGGCTAATTTACACTCGCGATCGCCTGGCACTTCACACAGCACTCCCGGCGTCCGTTCGCGGTCTCGGAGTCGAGAAACTCGCGTCGACGCACGCATCGCGACGGGTTGATCGAGTTCGCGAAAAGAAGCGAAACAGACGCGTCGGCGCGCGGCGATGGCGTCGGTCGCTTGTCCCGACGAGCCCGCGAGCACATCCTCGATAACTGACGCGCACCAAGTGCGACTCGCACGAGACACACGATTCGCGACGCGTCGCGAGTGTCACGAGTATCGAGCCTAATTGTTCGCGGCGATCGACGGTCTTGCGGCGAGCCGGATGGCCGCTCGTCGCGGCGCACGACAAACGACGAACCACACTCGACCGCGTTCCGTCGCGGAAAAACACGGAGCGGCAACCGTCGACTTTCTTGCGGCAACGCGAAGTTCGCCGACTTACGACGTGAGTCAAGAGGAAGATAGACGGGCGCGCGGCTGAACTCACGGGTGGCTCGCGACCGTAAAACACATTGTACAAAGATACATTTCTTTTACCCTTTTCAAGTAATCTTTTTTAAAAATGATTTTAAACATTTAGGCGCACGTTCTCTGTCTACTTCTAGAAGTGATCGCTCGGATAATGCCGAGAACGTCGCCGGTGTAAAACGTCGCGAGACAGAGCGTCATAAAGCGGGGGGCCGACGTGTATTAATTCGCGTGTGTTCTCGCGCGTATGATAGGCGAGTCGTGTAGTCCTCGGTCGAGCCGCGACGATTGTGTTTGTTTATCGCGTCGCGCGCTCGACCCCCGCGTAAAGCCTCCGCTACAATGATTCTCGGTTCTGTCTACAATGGTCGTAGTCGTAGTCGCTCGATAAGAATTGACCAATTGCAGTCGATTATTCTTACGACTACGACCATTGTAGACAGAACCGAGAATCGTTGTAGCGGAGGCTTTAGCCTACGTTCGTCCTTCGTGCCTTGACTTTGACTACGGCAGTGTCACGCGATATATGTAGCCGTGCGGCACGTCGCTCTGCGTCGCAGTTAGGGTTGCCAGATGCGAAATGACTATTTCCGGGACATTTTTAGGCCACGGCTGAAAAGTAGGTTGTTAGGGTATTTTAGTTAAGTTTTTAATTAATTAGCGACCCATGAGCATATATATATGTGTATATATACATGTACCTAGAACCTTACACATTTAGGGATAAAATAAAACAAGTTTTTGTGAAAAAATATAATATTTATTGCTACAGAGTATCGGGCGAACGGCTAAGAGGTGGAGAGGGTACCGCTGTGCACTGGCAATGGCCAAATACATTAATTTATAGGTATCAGTTAGAGACATGAATGTTATGATT